AGGAGGGTAGGTACTCGGAGGAGGGCTTTCTCTGCGGTGGCGCCCAATCTATGGAATGTGCTCCCCAGAGAGGTCCACCTGGCACTGTCATTATTTGTTTTTCGGCGGCAGGCCAAGGCCTTTTTATTTAAGCGTCATTTTAAGTGTTAACAGTATTTGCTTATTTATCTGGCCAGGGCGACTTCTTTTATATTGTTATTTATTTTATATTGTTAGTTTTATATTGTTATTTTTGTATTATATTTTATGTTGTGAGCCGCCCCGAGGCTTTGGCGAATGGGGCAGCATAGAAATGTTTTAATAAACAAACAAACAAACAAACAAACATCTTGGTGGGCGTGCACTCTTAGGGTTGAGGCAAGTTGGAGACGCTGATGGCACATGCCAACAAGAAGAAGAACATGTGGTTCCAGCTGAAACGGCCTGCACTGCAAGGAGGAGGGTCCCATTGCTACGTCTGTTGCAGCTGCTAGTCGTCGCTACTACTATCAGTACGACCACTACTGCTATTAGTTGCAGTGGTGTGGTTGGTTTAAAGAATTCTGCTGGTGTTTCACAGATATGCAGCAAAAAAAACCCCAGTCCTTTTCCCCAGAGAGCATGCAGTCCACACCAGCTTTCCAAACTGCCTGACCACTGGGCTGTTCAGGATGCGTATGAAGGCAACTGTAGTCCAAACCATCTGGAAGAATCTGTGGTCTAAATTCTGAGAAGATATGCAGAGATTAGAAAGGATGGGAGAAGAGGGGCGGTTGAATGCAGTGACGTACTCAATCTGTCAAGGGGCTTTGATAGCAGATGATTTGGAATTAGCTAAAATTGTGGGTTGGGCTTTCTGCCCACTGGATGCTCTTGAAGTTGTGGGTTTTACATGAGATCCTTTGTACACATGTGTGAGCAAATGCAGCTTTTTGGTGCTTTCCTTCTGACATTCTCTGCCTGCCCCAGATGGTGTTGGGAGAGGGCTTAAGAGCTAAATGATGTATTGCCATTTTTGAAATTGTGGATTTTTTTGTAGGGGAAGGTAATGGGGGAAAATAGTGGGGGAAAGTCCCAATTGCCTTAACACACATGTCTTCCCCTCCTGAGTGAGCCACAATTGTTTGTACACTAAGCCACTGGGTGTTTTTCCACACTTCTTCAATCCCGTGCATTTTTGATGCACTTTTCCAGGATATGAGGTTTGGGGGATGTACAGTTCTGGCCCTGAAATTCTAAATCTGATTTAAGAATGTCAGAAGCCTGGCATTGTCAAGAGTGAGACCACAGTGGCCTTGCAGAGTTTCAGGTAGAGGTTTTTTCTAGCCCTAGCGTGGGATGTCCTGGACTTAACCTGGGACCGTTTGCTCCAGATCTTTTAAAATAAATACACAATTTGCATGCAATTTTTCATGCCGATTTTTATCTGGAAATTCCCAATGAATGAAGAAATGGAGTGGAACAGCCTTATAAGTGAACACACATCAAAGTCACGCGGATTAGAGATCTAATCAGTCTACCCATTCCAGCTGTTAGGTCTTGTGCGTGTTGTTTCAAGTTGAGCTGCTATGCTGCTGTGGAACACCAGGAGGTGCTATTGCAGAACATAAAGAAGCTGAAAGTTGGAAAAGAGATTGTTATTACAATCAACTTTCATTTCAAACGCAGGACTTGACTTATTCAAGGTAGAAATTTGCCAGCATCCAAAAGCTGGCCATACTTTCTCAGGACTTACAATATCGTTATCTGCTGTCTGCAACCACCGACACCCCCCATAAATGACAATCCCCCAAAAAGACCTGTCCATGATGGCTCCATTCAGTTCTTCCTAATCAGAGGCTGTGGCTTCCTCGATGGGGTCCACCCACCTCCTATCCAGGCTTCCCGTTTGTCTTCTGCCTTTGACTTTCCCTGTCTTCTCCAAAGAGAAGTGATTGTCTTCTCCAAGTGATTGACTTCTCCAAAGAGTCTTGCCTGTGCCCAAAGTTTGACAACCTCAGTTTTGCCATATTGTACTTAGATACAAATCTTGGCAGCAAAAAAAATTGAAATGTTGTCATTGAAATCCATGCACAAGATCACAGAGAGTGAGAGAGAGAGAGAGAGAGAGAGAGAGAGAGAGAGAGAGAGAGAGAGAGAGAGAGAGAGAGAGAGAGAGAGAGAGAGAGAGAGGGAGAGAGAGAGGAGGGGGGGAGGGAGGGAGGGAGGGGTGGAGAAGAGAGGAGAGGAGAGGAGGGAGGGAGAGGGAGCATTTTCACCAGAATGGGATCCCGGTATTTCTTTTGCTGTACCTAGAAAGCAACAGCAATGTTGGAGTGTTGTGTCCAACACTCACACTTCATATCTAGGGCTCTGCAAGTTTAGCTTTCCCCTGTCTCATAAGAGAAACCACAGAGATATAGAAAAGGGTACCTGCATAGTCTAAAGGCTGGAACAGATAAAATCACAGAACGTTAAAGTTGGGAAGGTTCTTAGAGGTCATCTAGTCCAACCTCCTTCTTATTGTCTGGCTTTTGTGACTACAGCATTCCTGAGAGAAAACCATGTTGTCTCTGCTCAAATCCTTCTAGCAAAGGAGAGCCCATCATCTGTGCAGGAAAACTGTTTCCCTGTCCAATTATTATTGTTATTCCTTTTTTTTTTCCCTTTTCTATATCACCCCATAGCCAAAGTTCTCTATGTCCAACAGCTCTTGCCGTGAGGAAGTGTTCCCAATCTGCTTCCCTGGTGCCAGTCCCATGCTCTGAAGCAACGGAGAAATAAATCTGTCCCGTCTCCTGCATGACAGATAAGAAAGCCATCCTTGTGAGGACAGGCTCCAGAGGTTGGGGATTTCTGGTTTTGGGGAGAGAGAGAGAGCGAGAGAGCGCATGTGTGCGTGCGTGTGCGCATATGTGTGTGTGACTGAATCCAGTCCTGCCCATGTGGACAAAATATTCAACTTTCTTCTGCGTTTTTCTACTTAGGAGTCTGCTGCAGGGGAATAAGAGGAACCAGGATGGCCAAGAGCAGGGTGTCGGTGGTACGTTTTGAAATGACGTCCTTCCTCACGACCAACCAGGCCCCGGTGGAGATGCCAAACTTGCAGGCAGCTGTGTCAACCCACATGATAGCTCTGTGTGTATATCAGATGGGCAGACAGACAACAAACAGGTGATGCTTTACGCGTTTATTTCGTTTTTGTACTGCCCAATCGCCAAGGCTCTCTGGGTGGTTAGCAAAAGTTCAGAAAAAATAATAATTAACTTAAGATAAAAGATAAACATAACTGAAAACAGCACAACCACAACAGCAACTGCAGTTGAATCAACTCGGAAGCACAGCAGCGGTACAGAATAAAAGGCAATACTAAAAATGAAGTTAAAGAGTTAAACTGTTAAAAATCTGGGAGAATAAAAAGCTCTATGCCTGGTGCCCCAAAGAGTACAAAGTAGGCACCAGGTGCTCCTCTTTGGGGGGCTCATTTCACAACCGGGGTGCCACCACTATTTAGCTAGATAGATACCAGCTCAAGAATTTCCTTGAGTTCTTTTCCCAGTGCTAGGGAGAAATGTTCTACCTCATGGTCAGCACACCAACTAAGAGCCAGCAGGGTGAGGTTTTGTGGGCTTGTAGGTTCCCCCGCATCTGTGTCTAAGAACGCCCCAGTGGAGTCCCAGTGCTTCTGTCTCTGGCGTTGCAGGTTAGGAGGCTGAGAAAGTCCATCTCTGTCAGTAAGCTGGTGAAAGGACAAGCTGCCATGCCCTTCTGCACAAGCAGAATGAGTTTATGCCTGCATCTCCAGGGCTGGTATACGAGGTTAGTCTCACTGGGCACCTGGCAAGACCCAGCCCGTTGCAGGAGTCCCATAACCAGCTTCCAGAGCTCCTGGGCCTGCTGGTCCCCTTCTCAGCATGAGAGCAGCAACATGAGCAGTAAACATGTGCAGAGCGCACTGTAGATCCATTTGAATTTCCTCATATGCTCTGGATCAGTGCTTTTTTGTAAGAAAAAAGGTGCCAGAACTCACGAAACTATTTGCCTTTTGCACATAGTCAATCACTGTACACACACCCACACACGTCAGTTGTGAAACGAAACACAACGGTCGCTGCCCGCACTCAGCACGCGACCACACGACCAACCACAAGCCGAGCAGCGCCATCACAACCAGCGCGGACGAAGTGCGCATGCATCGGACTCGACACACAAGCAGCCCACATGCGCCGTTTTAATGCTTTTGCCGCCGACCTGCTACGCTCGACAGGGCAATTCAAATCCACGTGAACCAAACATCAAATTTTCAAAAGTTACTTTTAAAACTTGGAAAATCTGTCGAAAAAAGGTGCCAGAACTCCGTTCCAGTGCATTCTATGACAAAAAAAGCACTGCTCTGGATGATGATGATGAGGAGGAGGAGGAGGAGGAGGAGGAAGAAGACTGCATTGCCCTAAAATGAACAGGGCAATCCTATACTTATCATGCAGTGCTGAGAGGTTGGAGCATGTCAACATTTCCAGCATCCTTCTGGGTTCTTTTTCAGGTGCTTGAAAGCGAGGAAAAATTGCTTCCAGCTCCTTCAAAAACAAAATAATTGCAGGTTTTTAAAAATGTACTTTAAAAATAACTAGTGGTTGCAGCGAGAGGAAAGGACATCAGACCAGCCCTCACAGTGGTCTGACATTTCCTTTGTGTTGACAGACAGCTAGACATGGGTTCAGAACCACCCACACCCCTCTGTCTTTTTATTGATAAAATCAGTATCGCCTCATTTCCAACATGAACACACATTTGGGAAATTGTGCAAATGTGCATTTTCATAAATCTGCAGATCACCTCCAAAGGGTTGTAATTTCCATACTGTCCAATAGCTGAAGCTCTCTGAGCAGTTCACAAAAATTGGTGTGAACGGCTAAAATAAACATTTTCATTCTCTCTCCAAAATAAATATTTTCAGTTTTGCATATGGAAGGAAATGGGCATTTTCAGTCTGCCTTGTTATTTTTCATACGTTTATACAACTAACTCTGCACACAATACCAGAATGCAGGCAGGGAGAAGTCTGGAAAACCCCAAATCTTGATGACCTGGAAAAAGCTGGCTTGTTGTAGATTCTGCTGGCTAGATGGAGAGAAATCCAGTCTAATTTGACTCTGTTGAAGATTTATCCACTTCCCTCCATCCACTTCATTAGGTGCATGTAGTGTGAACCTCAGCTATATCTATATATATGAGGACATAGAGGGGTAACCTGCACCCAGTGAGTTCAGATGGAAATGGTTTTCACTGTGCTTGTTAAGTATGAACACTCTAGACACGCAGAGCCCTCTCTGTCGGCACGTGAGCCAAGTCGCCCCAGCATCGCCCCAGCAGCCGAGCATCGAAGAACAGTGCACACAGGGGCCATGCACAGGCTCAGAAAGGTGTAGCCACGCCAGGCAATGACATCACGAGCCACGAGTCACTAGCCAGGGCTTGTCTGAGCTTTCGCACGGCTGGTCAGTGCGCTGCCAGGGATATACATATATTTGCTTGGACTGGCTGTGAGTTGTTTTTTCTAAACTAAAACCTCAGTTTTCAGGTTTTATTGCAGTGTTGGCACTTTGCGATAAATTAGTCGGTTTTGGTTGCGGTTTGGGTACTCAGTCTTTAAAAGGTTCATCATCACTGGGTTAGGGTTAGAAAAACGAGGTGTCCAGGAGTGATTTTGATGGCTGGGATGTGTCTAGAAGCGACAGAAATGATGAGCTGGGCAGAAAAAGCTGCTCAAGGAAGGCTTTTTCAAAATCTCCCTCTTTTCTATGGAATTTTAGCCCTATATTAGGGTTAGGGGAGCACACCAGGGTAGGGTTAGAGCAGTGGGAGTGAACCTATGGCACGCGTGCCACAGCAGGCATGCAGAGCCCTCTCTGCCAGCATGTGGGCCAAGTCGCCCCAGCATCACCCCAGCAGCCAAGCATCCGTCAACAGAGCACATAGGGGCCATGCGCGAGCTCGGAAAGGAGTAGTGGCGCCAGGCAATAACATCACGAGCCACGAGTCATTAGCCAGGGCTTGTCTGAGCTTTCGCATGGCTGGTCAGTGCGCTGCCAAGGATATACATATATTTGCTTGGACTGGCTGTGAGTTGTTTTTTCTAAACTAAATCCTGTTTTCAGGTTTTATTGCAGTGTTGGCACTTTGCATTAAATAAGTGGGTTTGGAGTTGCACTTTGGGCACTCGGCCACTAAAATACTGCTCCAGAGGCTTCTTTCCCCAGCTGCAGCCCTCTCCCCAGGTTAGAAAGGGAGGAGAACGTTTCCCTACTTGGGCTATGGGAGGCACCCCCTTTTTGAGCCCTGACCGCGGACGGCTACCAGTAAATCCATTCTTGACGCCCCAAACTCCCCACTGGCATTTCTGAAGTTATGCCTTTGCAGAGTGTATCCATATGTCGCTACTGCTTTCTTTCTTTGTCAGGTGAGTCACAGACGCTCGGATAAGGGAAATGAGCTGTTGGATGGAGAAAACGTGGTTCTCTAGTCTTTTCAGCCCAGCTTTTGTTGTTCTTTCAGCTTTCCAACTATAAGTGATCCCATGGGCCAAATCTCGCCTCACTGTCCAATCTTGTGCCACCTCTTTCAGCTGAACGATGCTCTGGCCTGCATCCTCTTTGATGGAGTCTAACTACCTTGCTCTTTGGCGACCTGGTTTTCTCCTTCCGCTGCACATTCCAAGCATTAAATCTTTTTCTAATGAGCCTGATTGCATAACGTGGCCAAAATGCTTGAGTCTCAGCTTTGCTGTCCTGCTGACCTGGGACGCGTCTGGTTTAATATGCTCCGGCACCTGCTTGTCCATGACTCCCGCCGTCCACGGAATACTCAGGAGCCTCCAGCAACACCTCCGTTCGAAGGAGTCCATTTCCCCCTTGTCCAGCTTTTTCATTGTCCAGCTTGCACAACTGCAGGCTGCAAGAGGGAAAATGATCCCTTGGACCAATCTGCACTTGGCTGCCAAGCTGATGCTCTTGTTTTTCCACACTCGATTCATGCCTGCCGTTGCCTCACAACCCAGTGAAATTCATCACTTTATTTCTGGACTGCATTCACCGCTGTGAGTAATCAGTGATCCCAGGAAAGTGAGTTCCTCTACACATTCGATTTCCACATTATCAACTGCTCTTTGGATGACTTCATTCTGTGCAGTTGTCAAGATCTTCATTTTTTCAGTGTTCAGAAGGAGGCCAACCTTCTCACTTGGATTCTTTGGTTCAATTGCTTTAGACCTTCCTTGGTTTCTGAGAGGACGGTTCCATCATCAGCGTATCGAAGGTTGTTGAAAGTTCTTCCTCTGATCCTTATCCCAACTTTTGACTCTTCAAGATCCGTCTTCCTCATGATTACTTCAGCATATAAGTTCAACAGAAAAAGCCCAGCTTTTACACTCACAGAATTATCCCTTGAAGGGTCCCAAGAGCTGCCTGCCCTAACCTGGACCCTAAAAGAGCTTATGCTAACCCTACACTGTCACTCAGAGGCACCTTTCCCATCTTTTCTTGTTCCAAAATTGTAGATTTTGACAATCACCCTCTCCATACTCTGGAGGTTTCTTCTTTTTTGGCTGCCAGTTCTGTTTCTAAACAGTAGGTGGCAGCATGCAAAAGAAAGTCCAATTCTCTGGTTTTAATTTGGGGTTTTACTTTGAATTTTCAAATTCTCAATAAAAGCTAATAGAAAAGAAAAAGAAAAGATTCACTGGGGCCTAGCACAAAGAACAACACCATGCCAGATATCCTGAACAGCAGAAAGCTCCCACAATGGAACTTTCTTTTTTGTGGAAATCCAGTTCCCTATTTCGGCTTCCCAGACTTGCAGTGGGCCAAGTTCTTGGCAGGCGCACCCAGCATTCGCACGCCCGCTCACGTCTCCACTTTGAACTTCCTGCAGCTGTTCTGATGGGGAAGGTTGCTGACTGTGCAGTCGTGGTTTGTGAGTATTCACGGACTTCCCTTTGGCTCAAATTGTTTTGCGTGAGCAGGCCAAGCGTGGGAGAAAGTTCGCAGATCCTGGAGGGACAGATTCCAAAAGGCCTCGTATCAACCCAATTTCTGGCCTCTACAGAAGTGCAACACACAATTATCTGCAATGCAAACCCAGTGGTGGCAATCCAAGGGCAATTTCCATTCACTGGGGAAATCCAGATAAATCCTGGTAGAAAAAGGTTGCTTATATGTGCCTTGGTGTTATAAAATCAAACCAGCAACACCTCTGCACCTCTTTCTCAGAAAGTATCAGAATTCCAAGGCAGGGTTCTGTTTAGTGCTGTTTTTAAGCTGTTCCTTTAAGAGAGGGCTACTACCTTTGGTTGGAAAAGCCTTTGCAGAATGGCGCACCCAAGAAAAGTTAATTCCTGTCTATTCATGTGCTGACAGCAAACAAAACTCATAAGGCAGCCAAATTTTTATTAATTTATTTATTTATTTATTTATTTATTTATTTGAACATTTCTATGCCGCCCCTTGCCGAAGCCTCGGGGCGGCTCACAACATAGAATAAAATACACAATAAATTAAAACAATAACAATTAAGATATATACATTAGAATAAAATAAGCCGCCCTGGCCAAATAAAATTTTTCCAGCAGTTTTGCAACCACCTTCATTTACATGCCAAGACCCCCAATAATCCCTGTGCCTCCAAGCTCGTTGTGTTAATCTCTTGTAATCAGGGCTATTGTATTAAGTCTCCTCTGCATACCTCTCACCTTCTCCTGACTGTGTTCCCCTTATTTTGTCATCCCCTGATCAGCTGCTATGTCATGTGACTCGGAATCTATAAAACACTCTGTGTATGTTCTAAAATCTTGCAGTTGGTGGTGAGGACCACTACCCCGTAGCATGCTGTCGTAAGTAACTGCAGGGGGCCTGGTGATCTTTCAATAAACTGCTGAGGTTTGAGTCGAAAGGGGTCTTTCCTTACTGAACCCAATTATCTGTCTCGCAGCTGCTATCAAGACGTCCCGACACATCCCCATTCTTGACGTGTTGGAATGTGCAGCAGTACTATATGCTTCAATGTCACACTTATTCAAAGCTCAGTGTCAGGGCTAGGTTTCAAACATAGAAACATAGAAATGCAGGTAGTCAGAAGGGGTCTCCCAGGCCATCTAGTCTGACCCCCGGCTCCAG